CAGGTGGATATAGCTTGCTAGCAGCCTCTCAACGAGGACCTATCCACGTCATCATTTACCCAGAATGCTTTGTGTGTAAATAAAATGGCCCCGTCCGTGTAATATATTTTTTAACTTTTGGTTTAAAAATTATTAAAACTGAACATCCTACAGTATTTTTACAGTCTTTATTTTACATTTAAAATATATGTTTATTAAATTAAGTCTAATGTTACACCTATTCATGGATCCCTTTAATGTTTTTGTGGACTCATTACGGAGAACAGCACCACACACTGTGGTCTTGGTTCTTATTGGCTCTTGGTTCTCACAACTGAATACCACCTTGAAAAAAACTTGAATTAAACCTCCTCTTTGATTTATTTATAGTTGTTGTTGCTAACAATTTCGACTGAATAAGTAGCATGTTAATCATTCTCTACAGGGGTTCTCTAAATATTTTGCAGTTCACTTTAGTTCAGGTATTTTAGAATGTATCCTGTCAGTGTAAACCATCTATTTGGCTCAGAACCCATGCCCTCTCTCTGAAGTCCAGTTTGATGGGATCTGCAGCAGGAGTTATTTGAACAAATTGACAGTAAAAACACTGATGTAACAAAATTCAGGAGCCTGTCTTTATATAAAACCCAATGCTCTTATAAGTTTACTTTCCGTTTTGATTCTGGACTTCTATGATTCTGTTCTCCTAAAAGTCTAATTAAACATTTGGAGCTGCAGTTTATTGTGTGTCAGTTTTTAAACTTGTCAACACATTAAAACACCCGTTCAGAAATTTCTTGTGTTGTAAAATATCTTTGTTACCCCTTCAGTCCTGAATCTGGTCAGGTCTGATGTCTAGTGTCAAGCCCAAGCATAGACATGTACACTCACAGGCCATTTTATTAGATCCACTTGGTAACTCAAATATCTAATCAGTCACATGGCAGCAGCTCTGAGTTTTTAGGTGTGTAGACCTGGAGAAGACTACTTATTGGCATTAAATTCAAACACTTTTTATACGTGGTGGGGTTGTTAGTGACAGATATGTTAGTATTTTAGAAACCGCTGATCTACTGGGATTTTGAAACAAATAATCTTAAGGGGTTTACAGAGAATGGTCCAAAAAAGGGAAAATGTCCAGTGAGCAACATTTGTGTGAAAAAAAGCCTTGTTGATGTCAGAGGCCGTTGGTCAGACTGGTTGGAGATGATAGAAAAACAGCAGCTTAAAAACCAGCACTTATGGCCAAGGTCTGCTGAATTTTATCTGTGAACACACAACAGGTTGAAGCAGTTGGTCTATAGCAGCAGAAAACCAGACCAGGTACCCCTCCTGTCAGATCTGAACAGATACGTGAAGACTCTGTGAACCTAGACCTCAGTCCCATCGAGCACCTTTGGAACTTGATCTAAAGGGACATTTACCTCATGGACATTCAGCTGACAAATCTGCACCAACCACATGATGCCATCATGTCAATGTAGACCAAAATCTCTAAGGAATGTTTACACCAACTTTTTGAATCTATTACACGAATAATTAAGTTCTGAAGGGAAAAGGTAGCCTGGTGAAAACCAGACCCTTGTCCTTCACTTTACTTCGTACAGAGGGTCTGGACTCGCTCCTATAGAGAAGCGATTCTTGCTGGGGGCGTGGCCTCTGCTCAAGTGTGTGTGTGTGCATATGTCGCTGTGAAGGAGGCTAAGCTAAGAAGCTAACCGGAAATCGTGTGTTGTAAACAACCCTACTGAGAGGAGAAAAGTACCGAACCGAACGAGACGACTATAAATGAGAGCTGCGGCTTTGTCAGACAAATTTATTTTAATTTGGAAGCCTTATCAACACGGACTGGCTTCATTCACTTCCTCCACTGCCATTGCTAAATAACTAGCCAACACTTTGCAGAAAATCGAAGTTGTTAAGAACTCCACCTTCTGTTTGCTGATTGGCCCAGGTAAAATAAACTACAAGCAGGCACTGCACAGAAAATCGACGTTCTGTTCTCTGATTGGTCCGGCTAAAAATCTGCCAGCGAAATCCTTGTCTATGGGAGAAATCCAAGATTGAGCAGTGAAGGGAAACGAGAATTGAGCGGAACTGCGTGGGAAGGCAAGGGTCAGGCTAGGGAAAAGGGGGTCAAACCAGTTCTAGCAAAGCATATCAAATGAAGTGGCCAGTGAGTGTGTATTGGTAGTCCAAGTGTCCCTGTCTTTGATCATTATTGGTAAATGAAGCCATGAGATCCCATTTTATGGAAGACGCACAATAATTTGGGCTGGCTTGGATAGAAGAGAGGGGAAACAATTTTACAGCTTCAGTAACTGTTGAGTTTTGTTTTCACCATCTCCAGTTCAGGTCAGTTTCTAACTTTTTTTTTTTTGATTAAATTCAAATGGTTTTTGAACAATATTGTTTATCTCAATGATTTCCTAGACAATTTATCATCCATCAAAATTAGTTTTCGTGACCAGCCTCATTACGGCTAAACATGTTAGAAAAATAAATATCTGAATGTACAGCAGCAAGATAGGAACTACAGTATATGAAGCAACAATATTCATCACATGAAAAAAGTCTTTTTTTTTATTGTACATCAGAATGTTTGGTTTGTTTACATCAGTGGTGACCAGTACTGGTCCTTGAGGACCACTATCATGCATGTTTTAGTTATTCACCTGCTTTTCATCATGTCTCCAGGTTTTGCGGAAGCTTGTTAATTATTCACTTACAGTGGTTTGCAAAAGTATTCATACCCCTTGAACTTTTCCATATTTTGTCACATTACAACCACAAACATAAATATATTTCACTGGAAT